CTGTTGTTCATCTAAAATAGGTGCGATGTATTCGTTCTTTTACAAACTTTAATATCAAAAAATGTTTATCTGCTTAGCCTTGAGGTTGCCTGAGTGCATTTATTATTCCAAAAAAACACAAAAAAATAATCATCTTCGACTGTTTTTTTTAACTGTCTGAATCCATTTATCATTATTTTATAAATGAAATATCTTTCATTATTCATTTTAATATCGCAAATTTTATCGATTTCTCACGCATACATATATTCCAGGTTGCAATTTTGCTTCTACTGCAAATGGCACTGAAATTTTACGTGCATTTTCTGAGCGTACATAAACTCGATTAAAAATGCACTAACTACGCTTGTATTCTGTTGGCGGTAAATCGAAACTCTCGATCACTCCGAAGAAAGCACAAAATATTTACCGTCGAATCGCGATCAATGATATTTCCGAATTTTTCTTCTGCGTCTCGGGCCTCATTGTTTTGGCTGCGCACTGCTTTGGCGTTTCGGCTCTGATTGTACAAGTGCAGCCAGCCACTATATATATATGAGCAATTCCGGAATTTAGTTTCGAATTTTTCGACTAAAAACGGAACAATTTTTTTTCGTTGGACGCATACTTTGAACATTGGGTATTGTTCTTGAAGGTCCTAGGAAGCTAAAAAAATGCGTGAACAATCGAAATTTTAATAGGTAATTTTTTTATAAGCATTTGTGTTCCGAGGAAAAATAATTAGTGCAGGCAAAACGCGCGCTCCATTATCCACCGATCAAAACTTTTCTAATTCGCTGGTAAAACTACTAGTGACCTTGAAAAAATAATCGACACATGTATTTTGAAAGATTTTTACATGCTCTTTCCGATGGTGACCTTAGATTTTTCGAAAAACGCATTATATGGCCAAAAAAACGGCTCAAAAGTCAAGCGTATTTATACAAAAAAAACACTTTTTTGAGCTATAAGCATATACAGTAGGGTGGTCCACTTTTTCAAAAATTTTTTGTATCTCGGGGGATCCATCGGAATCAGAAAGTTTGAGGTTTAAAATGAATTTTCCCGTAAACTAGAACTCAAAAAAATGATTTTAGATGGTGTCGATGGATTTTTGAAGTTTAAAAACGAGCTCCAAAAAAGAAGCAAAATCGGGCTATCATTCGATTTATTTCAAACTCTGTTTAGAGTGTAAAAATAATCTTGACAATACATTTTCTTATGTGTTTTTGTCTGCAGAATCGAATGCCGTAGTCAGTTTTGACCTAGGAGCACAATTTCATTCAAAAAAATACACTTTTTCGATCGTTCTTTTTCGCAAATTCCGCAAAGTTCATTTTCGAGCGAGTGGCAAATGAACAGAAAAAATCTAGAAAATTTTTTGACACCACCAAAATTTAGGATTTTTTATGACAAATCCAATGGTATAAATTAGTATACACTTTGAAATTATTTTAATGCAGAAAAATACAACTTTATCCCAAAAAACGACATTACGAAAAATTGAAAAATCGAAAAGTGTATTAGTTTCTTCCAGGAAATGGCTAAGTAGAATCAACTATGGAAAAAATTGCATGAAACTATCTGATAGGTTTTTTTCTCACCTTTCCAACGCCGGTTTCAGAAGTTAAAAATTCGCAAGATTCGCTGAGATACAGCTATTTTTGTACGATGCATTTTTTAGCTTAAATTCTGCTTCGCTGGTTTTTTAATGAATAGAGCTAGCTCAGAATTATTGAATTTTAAGCCTAAAAAATGCATCGTACAAAAATAGCTGTATCTCAGCGAATCTTGCGAATTTTTAACTTCTGAAACCGGCGTTGGAAAGGTGAGAAAAAAACCTATCAGATAGTTTCATGCAATTTTTTCCATAGTTGATTCTACTTAGCCATTTCCTGAAAGAAACTAATACACTTTTCGATTTTTCAATTTTTCGTAATGTCGTTTTTTGGGATAAAGTTGTATTTTTCTGCATTAAAATAATTTCAAAGTGTATACTAATTTATACCATTTGATTTGTCATGAAAAATCCTAAATTTTGGTGGTGTCAAAAAATTTTCTAGATTTTTTCTGTTCATTTGCCACTCGCTCGAAAATGAACTTTGCGGAATTTGCGAAAAAGAACGATCGAAAAAGTGTATTTTTTTGAATGAAATTGTGTTCCTAGGTCAAAACTGACTACAGCATTCAATTCTGCTGACAAAAACAAATAAGAAAATGTATTGTCAAGATTATTTTTACACTCTAAACAGAGTTTGAAATAAATCGAATGACAGCCCGATTTTGCTTCTTTTTTGGAGCTCGTTTGTAAACTTCAAAAATCCATCGACACCATCTAAAATCATTTTTTTGAGTTCTAGTTTATGGGAAAATTCATTTTAAACCTCAAATTTTCTGATTCCGATGGATCCCCCGAGATACAAAAAATTTTTGAAAAAGTGGACCACCCTACTATATATGCTTATAGCTCAAAAAAGTTTTTTTTTTTGTATAAATACGCTTGACTTTTGAGCCGTTTTTTTGGCCATATAATGCGTTTTTCGAAAAATCTAAGGTCACCATCGGAAAGAGCATGTAAAAATCTTTCAAAATACATGTGTCGATTATTTTTTCAAGGTCACTAGTAGTTTTACCAGCGAATTAGAAAAGTTTTGATCGGTGGATAATGGAGCGCACGTTTTGCCTGCACTAATTATTTTTCCTCGGAACACAAATGCTTATAAAAAAATTACCTATTAAAATTTCGATTGTTCACGCATTTTTTTAGCTTCCTAGGACCTTCAAGAACAATACCCAATGTTCAAAGTATGCGTCCAACGAAAAAAAATTGTTCCGTTTTTAGTCGAAAAATTCGAAACTAAATTCCGGAATTGCTCATATATGCATGCGAATAAACAGTGCTGTATAGCGCGCTAACATTTACACATGTGAAGCTTGGTTTTACGTACGACCGTCATATACAAACCTATACAAGCACACGTTCACGCGTGTGGGTGATGCTATTGCTACGTAACGTTATGCTGCTGCTGCTGCTGTTGCTACTGCTTTTGCTTCAACACTATGTGTTCAGCTGCCGTTGCCATTGCTGTACACACGCGCGCACATCAGTCCGTCGACGCCTATTATCGATCGTTATGTACATATATACCGAGAGCTTTTTATTGCCGCTGAAGTTAATCAGACTATATATATGTATACGTGTAATGCATATAAACACGTACTCTATGTGGCAGCGAGATTGTAAAATTTGCAATTGAAAAAGTATATAGCCTTTCGATCCCATTAACTGCACTTTTCGATGCTCCCGATGAAGTATTTACGGCTTTCGCGAGCGTAAATGATGCATATATAATATTGGCAAAAAGCAAAATAAAAGTTTACAACTCCAAGCGTATACGCCGCCGCCTCAGCCGATGCTACTTTTTACGATGACCTCAAAACGTGAGTTGCGAGAACTTGAGAAGCGGCGATGTCGCTAATAAGACGTCCAAATTTTCAAGGGTACATACACCAGGCCACTGCGCAAACTGATGAAAAATTAATAATTTCTTTCGCTCGCGCCATTTCTGCATTTAGATGGTTATTTCGACGCGCTCGAAATATTCTGTAAACTTAATTTCTCGAGCGTCTGTTTAGCTTTCCGATGGCATCGATGTTTGAAACTGTCATTTATTGAAATATTCCTAATAATTAATATTGCCATTGATCCCGATGTTTGTTCTTCCGACCCGTTTCAAACAATATTATAATAACACGCTACACATACAGCCCACCAAGCATGACCATTTATCTGTTGTTGCAATTTGGAAACCACATTGATTGTATTTGCTAAACAATACACTACATCGAGTTAGATGTAGATATATGTATATATTTCTTTTGTGGTTTAGCGTGTAATTTTGAGTGTTCATACAACACGGAACATTTGAAACCGAATGATGTTATTACGCTTTTACTACTGGTTATTTTCATGCTGCAATGGAAATACTTAGACATAACAATCGTTGTGATTTTCATGATCTAATCAAATTCATATTTTTGTTTGCTAAAAATATGACTGTTAACTGTTTTTCATGCATTTACAGTAGATTTTTAATTAACAATATGTATTTATTGTGTAAAATTATTTGAGATACAATTGATTAACATTTTTATCTTGTGATTATATTTTAAATATTTTGATTAAAACAACTCTTTTTTTTGTTTTTCGGAAAATGCGTGTTTGTAAAAATTTTATTCCATTCACGATCGATATAAATTTCACAGTTGAAAAAGTTGGAGCACTGAAATTAAATAATTACAACTTCTTCGAGTTATCAAGAAAAAGACCAGGTTGAAATTTTGATAAAACTGGTTTTTGTGTGCTCTGCAAAAATGAGAATAACATGATAATATTTGTGTAGAAAGATAGGCTCGTAAAACATTATTTACAATTAATAAATTTACTACGAAGTCTGTCGTCTCTATAAATCGCATTTCAATTTCAAAATTTTTACTAGTATTGTGATAAAGTTCAAATCAGTTTCTTTTTGAATTACATAATATTTCCTACAAAACGCAGAATAATTGAGTTTTCAAAAATATCGAAATTTTGTGACGTAAAACAATGACAAAAATGATAGCGCATTTCAATATACTATAAACGTAAATAATTAGTATCAATGATTACATAAGGTAATGCATACAGTATTGTGGCTTTGAATTAACACATATTCCCCGTTTTTGTTGTGGATGCCTAATACTGCCCCTCGCAAACGATTTACAAATAACGAAAGTATCAACTAAACGAGTGAAATTTTGATGATAGTAATCATTGATAATTCCCTCTACATGTTCCGTTTAAGATTGGTTTTATGTTTTTTATAATTTTAAATTAATGGATTATCCTGATATTTATTCATTTTTATGTTTTCCGATCGAATGTTTTTTGTCTCAATTCTAATAAACTTAGTTTACAAATCGATGCATCAACTTTTATCGAATCAACTAATTTTTCTCTTGTACTTTTTTGGACAATTTAGATGTTACTCCGTCGGAGCAGGAGGAACTTTTTATACGAAAGCTAAGACAATGCTGCGTCGCTTTCGACTTTATGGACCCGGTGGCGGACCTCAAAGGCAAGGAAATTAAACGCACAACCCTGAACGAGCTTGTCGAGTTTATCACCGCAGGCCGAGGGGTCTTAACCGAAGCGGTCTATCCTGAAATCATTAAGATGGTAAGTTTGTTGCTTATTTTAATTTTGTTATCAAAATTGTTTAACTTTGACGCACGCATGAAAAATACAGGGTAAGGCGCGAATTAAAAATGGTGCATTCATCGTGACGACGAAATAGTGAAATTCGGCTAGAAAACGAACAATCGCAAGCTCTTTAATGCAGCATAGAAAGAGACTTCGAGTGAGAGTAAAGTGCACTGACCCATATAATATACGGATTCACGCCCATACCGGAGGCGTTGCATGCACGGAATGCGGAAAGATGATATCCCCCGCTTTCCTTTTTCTTCCCTTTCTTGTTTCTCTTTCTCACTGTTTCGTTATTAATAATTTCGTGCTGTTCACGGGTTAAACGAGCGCGTGTTTCGCGGTGTGCGTTACTTATGCCTCGACTTGTATTATACGCCGTGCTGCTGCATTTATATATTGCAAATATGATGTGTGTCGAGGCCATCTTTGGCAGCGAGAAAGACGACACACATTCGCGAGATCTGCACCTTAATAACATAAACGTTTTTTTCTCACGACGCCTATATCTCGCAAGGCATAAAGATACGCGTCCGCGAGAAGCTATATATATTGTAACGGGGCGTCGTCGTCGCGTAAGTCGTTCCTCATTGCACGCGAGCCACGTGCGAGAAGCGAGCCTCGTACCACACAGCGAGTATTGTATATGGATTTTTCTTGGCACATTATAATGCTCGACGCTGCTGTCGACATGTGTATGTGTGTAAGACCGCGTGACCCGGTGTATTGACACTCGTCTCTTTCTTTTTCTCTCTCTCTCTCTCTGTCTCTCTCGTATTCGTTCTGCACTTGTTGCGTTAGACAATTTCTCGCCATTACGTCATTCGGTAATTCAGCACTTCTTCGGAGCAATTTTTCCCCTCTCGCCTGGTTTTTGTAATGCTACGTCAAGCAACTGTACTATTTGCTATTCTTTCAATTTTATTTATTCGTTTATCAATGCTTTCAATGCAATCAATACTACACTCGTTGTATCAATTCTTGATTTTTCATCTGCCTATGTAGGCAACTTTCGATACTGCTATTTTATTCCACAAGAATAATTATTATTTTATCATTTTGTTATTGATTTATTCCTTTTTATAGATTTAACATTTCTGTGTGACACTTGTCAATTAAGCGAATTGTATTTTATCTAGAATCAATTTTCATCTCAATTAAAAGCAGTTACTTTAAATTTATATTACGTTCAACTTGTCAGTCTTCTTTGACAAGACATTGTTCATGAAAAAAATTTCCTCCCGTTCGTGATTATTAACAAATATTCCATCGTTATATAAATGCAAATGTTGCTAACCATCGTGGCCAACACTCAAAATGGATTAATAAAATGTCAAGTCTTGCCCTTAAGATGTGACTGTGCATATTTTTTTCTCTTTAACATACTTTTCAAGAATCTACATACTAATAAAAATTTCCTCTCTTGCAGATTTCTGCCAACATATTTCGTACCTTGCCACCGAGTGAAAATCCAGACTTCGATCCTGAAGAGGACGATCCGACCTTGGAGGCGAGCTGGCCCCATCTCCAGCTCGTTTACGAGTTCTTTCTGAGATTTCTTGAATCCCAAGACTTTCAACAAAATATTGGCAAACGCGTCATTGACCAAAAATTTGTTTTACAGGTAATTCCATTATTACTATATACATTAATTTTTTACTGCTTCTTATTCCACTTTGTTTGTAATTCTAAAATTTTTAACTTCATCACATAATATCATTACAATCAGTTCAAGAAGCTCTATGTTGCCTCTATCTGATTCAGCTTGAATACTAAAATATCGTTGATTTTAAATTATTTGTAACGATACTACAATTATCATCATTTATACAAAAGCTTTCTTCATGTACAACACGAAAATCTTGGTACTCTAAAAGAAAAGCTCATTGAATGTCGACTCGCGACATAAAACATCTGAAGTGGAGAAATGATTTCTGAACTATACGCCAGCGTTTTTATGCTCTCGATATATTTTACCATAAGAAATGAAGGAAATGTGTATATTGACTTTTGAATACTGAAGCTTTAAAATCCAATATACTTATTTCCTCTAATTTTTTAAGGAAAATACATTGAGAATATAGAAATTCTGCGCTATCATTTAGTCCTAAATCAAGGACGTTTAAAGCGCGCCAAAAAGTGGTTAGTCTAATTTATTAATTATTGTTATTTGCTACAGTTGCTGGACTTGTTCGATTCCGAGGATCCTCGAGAAAGAGACTTTTTGAAAACAGTCTTGCATCGTATATACGGAAAATTTCTGGGTCTCAGAGCTTTCATACGTAAACAAATAAACAACATCTTTTTAAGGTAGGTTCTATTTCACTTTCAATTTTTGCGAGTCAAAAGAGACGATGCAATGATTAAATTTAACTTTCTTGACGAATCCGTCCACAGGTTTGTTTACGAAACAGAGCATTTCAATGGAGTTGGGGAGTTGTTGGAGATATTAGGCAGTATCATCAATGGTTTTGCTTTACCGCTGAAAGTTGAACACAAACAGTTTTTGGTCAAGGTAATACATCTTTATGTCCAAGAACTATAAATGTATAAATTGATTAATCGAAATTAACTTATTCGATTTTCCTCAGGTGCTGTTACCGCTACACAAAGTTAAGTGCTTGTCGCTGTATCATGCGCAATTAGCATATTGCGTGGTACAATTTCTCGAAAAAGACGCAACCCTCACGGAGCCCGTTGTACGAGGACTTCTGAAATTCTGGCCTAAAACATGTAGTCAGAAAGAGGTCATGTTTCTGGGCGAAATCGAAGAAATTCTCGATGTCATAGAACATGCTCAATTCGTTAGAATACAAGAACCATTATTCAGGCAAATTGCACGTTGTGTTTCGTCTCCACACTTTCAGGTACGGTACCATAAACTTCGTCATTGTGCCAGTTTTTTGTATGTAAATTATTTTACGTTAATTTTTTCCACAGGTTGCTGAGAGAGCGCTGTATTTTTGGAATAACGAGTACATTATGTCCCTAATCGAGGAAAATAATCACGTTATAATGGGAATAATGTTTCCGGCTTTATATAGAATAAGCAAGGAACATTGGAACCAAACGATCGTGGCGCTTGTTTATAATGTGCTAAAAACATTCATGGAAATGAACAGCAAGCTCTTTGACGAACTTACTGCCAGTTATAAGTCTGAAAGGCAAAAGTATGTACTCAAATTAACAAATGAGCAAAAATTTATGAGATAATTTTTTATCCAGCTTTCCATATTCTGATCTTTGAATAGTAATTATTAGGCAAAAGTTTTACTAAATTAATTAATAATTTTTTAGAGAGAAAAAAAGAGAAAAGGAAAGGGAAGAACTGTGGAAGAGACTGAATGAACTGGAACTTGAACACCGCCAAAACGCTTTAACAGCGCCAACAAACACTTCAGTTCCTGCCTCTACTGCACCTGCGACGCGTGCCCGCCCCTGAGCTGGTAAATTTCTTACTTTATTAAGTGTTATGTGCACACGCAGGAAAAAACAAACATGTTCTCCCAAGGTTTTGAAATAAAATATGAAAAGTGCTGCAATTAATTTGTTTGATTATACATTATGTAGTGTAGATATATTGAAAGAGACTAATCATTAGCTGGTATGATAATATTGAGATTAAAAGGTTCTATTAGAATATCGAAAATCATATTTATTAACGCCATTTGTTTTTACACGAAAAATTTAATATTGGTCTTTGGTCTCTATATATCCCATCTATTTTATTTTAATACTTTTAAAAGAAACTTGTGCCAGAAACAAGTTTAGACTTAATTTTCATTAAATCGAACTCATTAATTATTAATTTATGCTTTTATCGAATCAGTTTCTTATGAGTTTTAAAATCTTAAAAAAATTAAACGCAAATGAACTTTTTTGGTTTTGATTTAAAAAAAGTTAATAGAGTTAAGCAAATTTTGATTCAAATCACATGAATGAACATCTGAACTAATTTTTTTTAAATCAACTTGACGTAATTGATGAGAGTGTCCAGAAAAGCATTAGTTTTTTTTTATCTAATTTGAGCATTATATTTTTGTTTTAACTCGTAATATTAATAATATTCAAATTTAATAATGGGTTAAATATTTACAAAATAAAATCACTTGTAACATAAGCATAATTGTCTATCTTTTGTATGTGCAAAATACGTTGTAATATTTATCTATATGCCACTTTAGGGCCGATGAAATTAGGACAAATAGAGGATTATTCGATGATTGATCAGCTATGAAAAAATTATAACTCTTTTTAATATTATTTATATTCACAAAATTTTTTCTTCAAAATTTCCATGTTTTGTTTTGTTGATAAATTAAAAACAAGCAATGTATAAATGTCAAGATTTAACTGTATTATTTAATGTGACTATGATAATTTATATACATGTATACCTATGTAACAAAGTTAATTAATGCTTTTTCAAACAATTTAGATATGATGAATTAATGTTATGTATGTATATATTATAAGTATAAGTATAGCAATAAAAGAAATAAATTTAAGTAGTGTCTTTGATTAGTATTAACGGAAACTCTATCTCAAGATATGCAAGTGTTAAAATTAAATTTTTTAAATTTTTCTTTTAAAGACACTCGTTTTTCGGAAATCATCTTTCTAAAATTTTTTAATTTAACGGTAATGTTTCAATAATATTCAACTAACTACTTAAAATATCCTTTAATTTTTAAAATTAAGTATTCTCTTGAAGACATGAATGTGATATTTTTTTTTGTCATAATTCTATTTTATTTCTTCATTATTATTATTATTATTGTTTTTCTAAATCAAGTTTGATTCAACCATTCATTTTAAGCAATTCAAATGTACTTTTCATGGAAAGTACTTGCGTCTTGTAATTATCAATTAAAATTATACTTTCAGGTGGAATCACACACACGCTGCCCAACTGTTAATCCTTAGTTTACGCCGATTGTCCGTTCACTTAAAGCAAAGAAAAATTGTTCATAATGGAAAATAAAATATTTCTCGTACAGACAATTTTTGACGTGGCAAAACTCTTTCATTATCTGTGCCTGAAAGGCACCTAGTGAAGAAGAGGACAAGGCATAACTATTGAGCGTAATAAGAGAGAGGGATGTTCAATAAGGAGTTAACATAAAAAATTTTGAGTTTCCCTTTTTAAAAAAGCCATATAGATTGATGATAACAATTAATTTTACTGTGTATAACATTTTTTACTCTTTTGACGGCAATGGTTTAATGTGCATGATGTACTCAATGTCAAACACTTTATACAAAAATGTGTATCCCTCATTAATGTATTAGCTGAGCTTGGTCGGAGGAGATGATTCAGGAGTTGATTGATGATAATAAATAATTAATAGTAATAATAGTAATAGTAATGACTAAGAAAAATCTGACAAAAAAAGTTGACGCATATAATGAATGAAATATCCTGTCATACAAAAACTGTATTGATTTCAACAGTGTAAAGTATGTTACTTTGAAGTATGAGCATGAGCAGTGACAAGCTCATTCAACCATAAACCTCTGAAATCTTGAGACGGGCCCATTTTTCAATGATCCTATCGACCGTGGCCGGCGAAGGTGTTGTTTGAACTGTATCATATGTTCGTATTAATAGTAGAATTAATAAAATACCTATGATAAAGTATATAATTTTCAGGCAAATTATACATAATACATCATAATTAAAGGTCTACACCAGTGATAAGTATAGATTTAGTGATTCATGTAGTGTTTGCTCTTCATTTGTAAAAAGCGATTAAAATAAGTTGTAATTTGACTTAATTTTAAATCAGACGACATTGAATTCAAATACTGTGATAATAAAAATATTTGCAATTTACAAAAACTAATTGATTTTCGTAAAGTTTGTTATCAAAAAAAAAAAAAAAAAAACGGATAGTTTTACATCTAAAGAAACAGAATAATTTCTTACAATATTTGTAGAAAATAAAAACATCATATCACTTTATCTATACATATTCCTGTTGTAGGGGCTTAATATTAGTTAAATCCATGGAAAATTAATCAACTTTGTGGAAGTTTCTAACACAATAATAACGAACACAAAGCACACATTATCACATAGTTGGAACTCAAAAAAATGCGATGATACATTGTAGATCTAACGTAACATTATATAAATATATAATAATAAGGATGATTACATAAAAAAATTGTGCAACAAAAACGCTGAAAATGCGCTGATTGCATACCGGCTAATTGACAAGCATACTTTTTCAGAATGAAAACCCGTAGACGTCGTGTGTATAACATGAAAAATATTAATATTTGAAAATATCATGTATCTGTTGAAGATAATTACAAAAAAGAGAAAAAGTGAGAGATTGTATGACTGTGTGAGAATTTAGTGTTAAATTGAGCAAATGAAATTGTGAAAAAATAAAAACGCAAAAAGTATATGTTGTTTTTTAAATAAAAAAGAGAGTAATAAAACAAGGGATAAATATATAAAATAAACTCAATTGTTCCGAAATATTTATGGTTGCTTATAAATAGAAATAAATCATTGAGATTAATTACATAAGAATTATTCGGAGCTGTGCTCCCACCGGCCACCATGAAAGTGTACGTGGGATCGTTTATAAAAATTTCATACCAATGCATAATAAAGATATAGGTATAGTGAAAAGAGTAAAGTGAATGAATGATTAAAATCATTAATATGAAATGAAATGAAAATGATAGTTTGCCCGAACTAGAAGAAAAAATGTATCAATGTGAAAACAAATACTGAGATGAAATTCTATTTCTGATCGAAGAAATAGTATAAAAAAACGTTTGCCGAGTTTTTACAACATTTACTAAACATGACGACTTTTTTCTATCTTTGATTTTAACATACTTACTGATTGACCTGGTTTCGGTAAGAAGCACTTTTACCACATTAATCATCAAAATCAATTTTTTATCATTTTTCAATATTTTGTGCAACGTCTCGTAAATTGTAGGCGAAAAAAATAACAAAGAAAAAACAATCAGTGCACCGATTAAACAAGATGACCTGTTTTATAAATATGATATATGCGTTTTATTCTGTGACTTATTTTCACTTGCTTATTTGCGTACAAATTATACACGAACTAAACACATTAGGTGATATAAATCCAGAAGAGAAATGTTTTATCCATTATCATATATATTTTTATCATTTACCATTAGTTTTAGAAAGAGAAATGAAACTTCATGGATGAAATCTTCGGAAAAAGCTCGCTGTACAAAAGATTTAAAATAAACACAGTGAAATTTAAAGTTAAAGAAGTTTGTTTGTTTCTAATATAATTTATCTTAAATATACATACGCGATTTGCGCCGCAAATAAGTGTCACTCTCTACTTTCATGCCAGTTTTGTGTTGACTTTTAACAGCTTTTCACGCTGAGAAGGATTTACAGCCCTTCAAAATGAGCTCGTATCCGTACAATATGGTAATGTTGACGGGTATGGATCTTATTATTATCATGGAAAATCCTTTGGAGAATCCGAGAATTCCGGCCTCTTGATACAGGTGCCAACTGCAGTGAATCACTCCTCGGAAGAATGGATTTTTCAAGTCGTCGCCCTGTATCCTGGATTTGATCGTGTCCAATGGGACGACTGGAATCCACGAAGCGAACCCTGGGTCGGAAAATCTTGTTTTCGATGGATATTAAAATTACTAGACTACATAGAAAATTATCATTAAATGTACCGGCAACTCCTCCAGCAACGATAGTTTCGTAGATACCAGGAGCTACGTTCAATTGACCAGATAGATAGTGGCGAGTCATTTGATACGCCAATAAGTAAACACCACCGCCTAGACCATCTCTGTTTTTTTTTTGTTTTTTTTTGAAAAAGATGTTAATTTTTTAAATTTAATTGTCGAGTCCTTATCTCGAATTTTGTATAATGCACATGTTGAACCTCCAAAATGTGATGACCAATCCAGTGGAGAAAGCCCGAAGGCCAAATTTCCGATAAATATCCAGTACGGTCAAACGCATGCTCACGGTTCTCTTGTATTTATTTTCTCCGATTTTTTTCTTCACAATGACACCTACGGAAGTCGAATTATAAATTTATAGTAACTTGATTCATGTTACTATACTCTCAGCTCTTCAATATACTTTTGCCCATTTGCATTCGAATTTTGATGAACTCGGTGGGGCCGGTTATCAATGTTTGGACGGCACCTGCGGCGCAACCGGCGACAAAGAGATCCTGCATCCAGCCCGAGTTCGTTGGCATGATTCTGGTATGACCCCTGCTGCGTTGAAGATAATTCATGGACATGTCGCAAATGCCGAAATACAAGGAATTCAAGTATCCGGAGCCTAGCAGCGGGAAAATCATTCCTCTGTAAAATCCTCGTATCTAAGATTTTTGAGCACGTGTCGATAACGATAGCACCGTTTGATATGAGCTTGTAGAGAAAAAAATCTTAAAAAAATTGTATACCCCGTCCTTTTTCATTATCTTAATCGCGGCTTGTCCGATGGACATCGGAACATTGCTCATCTGTTGATAAAGTTTGATGGTATCCATCGGGTGTCCTACTAAAGTTCCAACGAAGCCTGTGTGGTAGTGATTTTTAAAATCGACGCTCGTGAAAGTTCATATTATATTTTTTTCATTAAATAGTGTAACGACAATTATTCATTACCCGCACTCCATCCTGCAAAGAAGTGACACTGTGATTCCTGCATTTGGAATCGTCATTTTGTCCATACGAAAATGTTTGCTCTATCCAAGTAATTTTTCACATCACATTTTAGTCAATAATCACCATAAAAATTTTCTTGAAAATTTCATTTTCAATTATTTAATAATATTTATCAGTACAAAATTTTCAAAATCAATTGTACGCTAGAGTTATAATTGATTCACCAAACACACAACGCGAATGAGCATAACCAATTTGTAGCTCTTATGTATAATTCGATTAAAGTTGACAATTAACCACTGAAATTGTTAAAAAATTTTTGAACTCTTTTTACAAATTACCCTTGTAATTATTCAATACACGAAGGGATTTGTTGGAGTTTTGAAAGGTTATATCGTTCAATAGAAGTTATTAGCCGGTTCATTTGCTCATGATATTTTTAAGATCAATCAGTTGCAAAAAATTAAAAAAAAAAACGATCATTAATTTGCGATACGTATTTCCCTTATGTATCGTTCAGATGATTCACACCGATAAATGCGCATTTAAATGAAAAAATATCAGTCGATTGGAAGAAGCACAATTTAAACACGCAAAAAAAGTACACTATTTTGTTTAAAAAATTGACTAAAATCATAGAAAAAAATAATGAAACTCTAAATATTAATATCTTGTGTAACTGCATAATCTTACATTTGAATATTGCCGCGCACGAAAGCGCGGCTCTCAAACGAAACGTGCGCAGATTGACATCCTCGACCGTCGTGTGCACGGTAGCCGGCAGCACGTGTGGCAGTACAGACCGACGTGCAAGGCAGACGAAAAGACTTGTTATATTTTTATAGTTTGATAGGTTTAGTAACATTAAAGTGATTAATATTTTAGTGAAATATATGATATCAAAATGCAGGCGTCTTACAACAACGATGTAAAGATTTACAATCTTAATGCTGGCAAAAATATTCCAGACGTAAGTGTTAACCCAGTTTTCATTCAATTTTTGTAATTGAATTTGGATATAATTTTTCTTTCAAAACTTTACTTGGTGTAAGATAGTTATTAACATACAAATATTATTATTCAACAGTTTCTACCTGCAGCAAAACGAAAGAAGCTAATGAAAAGTGATGCCAGTAAGTTTTTTGTCCTTATAGTGTGTATTTGCAGAAAATTGGAAGTGAAAATCTAATTTTTAAAAATAATATTATTACAGGTATCCAGAATCAAATTAGGTTGATTCAAGAGCTTGATATGCCAGATGTTACGACTAACATCAAAATTTCAAATGATGAACGTTATATTTTTGCCTGTGGAACATATAAACCAAGAATGAAATGTTTTGATGTACATCAACTTAGTATGAAATTTGAAAGATGTTTTGATTCAGAAGTTGTTGCATTTGAAGTACTATCCGATGATTACACTAAGGTATGTATTAATCTAATAAATATATAAGTAAGATTGAAATAGTACAGTCAATAATATTTATGTATTTACAGTTAGTATTTTTACAATGCGACCGGCACATTGAGTTTCACGCTGCACATGGTAAATACTACAGAATGCGAATACCTAAGTTTGGAAGAGATTTGAAATTTCATTATCCCTCTGCTGATTTGATTGTTGTTGGAACTAGGTATGCATTTATTGACAAGTTTAAGTTATTCGTTTGTGTGCATAACTAATATTTTAATGTTTTATTACTTTTTCTTTTAGCAATGAAATATATAGGTTGAATCTTGAAAGAGGACAGTTTTTACAGCCATTCCTTTCTGATAGTAATTGCTGTAACAAAGTAGCCATTAACCCAGAGCATCAATTATTGTTAGTGGGTACCAATGATGGAAAAGTTGAAGCATGGGATCATCGTGTAAAAAAAAAAGTTGGGACTCTAGATTGTGGATTTGGTTGCATCAAAAATAATACAAAGTAAGAATAGAAATACATTTTACCCTTTTTGTATATATAATGAACAAATTTGACTAAGCTCATTTTATCTGCAGCCTTGATACTGTACCATCAATCACAGCTCTTAATTGTCAAGGGGCTTTAACTGTTGGAGTTGGAACTGTCACTGGTCAAGTATTATTATATGATATTAGATCAAATAGTCCATTTACTGTCAAAGATCACATGTATGGGCTACCTATAAGAAATATTGAATTCCATTATAGTATGGACTTAGTATATTCAATGGACAGTTCCGTAATTAAAATATGGAACAAAGATAATGTAAGTTTATAAATAATCATATTTTCCAATAAATTTTTTTAACTTGATTTAACTGAATTTATGTTTTTTTAGGGTAAAATGTATACATCAATAGAAGCAGAAGATGCTTTCAATGATTTTTGTGTTTTCCCAAATACTGGAATGATATATACAGCCAATGAAAGTCCAAAAATGTTGACTTATTACATTCCCAGTCTTGGTCCAGCTCCAAAATGGTGTGGTAACCTTGATAGTCATATTGATGACTTTGAATTTAAAAATACTCAAACATTATATGAGAACTATAAATTCGTGACGAAAGAAGAATTAGATGAATTAGATTTGCAAAATACACCATTCTTGCTTGAAAAGAATTTGTTGAGAGCTCACATGCATGGATACTTCATGAATCTCAAACTTTATAATAAATTCAGAGCTTTGAAGAGACCATTTGAATTTGAAGAATTCAAAAAGCAGAAGATCTCAAGCAAGATTCAAGAAGAAAGACCTAAACGAGTACAGGTAAGAACTTGAAAAAGGAAAAACTATATAATTCTCTTCAAAATTTCAATTTTACTAATTAATAATTACTTTTCAAACAGGTCAATCCAGAAGCTTCTCTAAGCTCTACAGTGGACGATCGATTCAAATCTCTACTGAGTAAAGATGAATTCAAAATTGACGTTAATAGTGAGCTGTATGCACTCACAAATCCAGTTGTTGCTAGTTTGTCAAAACCCAAGCTCATAGAGTACGACGGAAATTCATCGGAAGATGAGAAGCCATGGGGTAAAGAAGTCGGAAAAGCAATGAAGGCGCGCAGGTACATAACATTTTTTCGAAAACTATTTATTTTAATTTGTTACCTCTGCTAAAATTTAATTTTTTATTTTTATAGGCAAGCCGCTTTTGAAGATAGAATAGATAAAGAAACTGTTGAGCCCCAACAAACCAGAGGAAACAAATCAATGACTTTTGTACCTAGAAGTAACAAATTTAATAAAAGAAAGCGATAAAATTTATATAATAACAATATTGTTTTATTAAAATCCCATTTTGGTCTGAAAAACATATAGAAAGTTCAATACAAATTGAAAGTAGTTAACATAACTGATAATGTAAATCGTACAAACAGTAATAACTCAAATGAAAATAAGAAGTAGAACTTCCCTAATAATGATTAATGACATAATTTCTAAAAATGGAACTCCTCAGTATTCAAAAACATCTCAAAACATTTTTTAATAAACATGTCAAATTAAATGTTGATACATTCATTATTTTACATTTTCTGGTCTCGACGCTTAAAACATGCATTTACCGTCAGCGTTCCACCAAGACGCGAGTTCGTAATTACGTACAAACATACAATGCGCAACGTCCGTGCGCGTGAGCACCAACCAACTTTGACACATGCTTATCCATGCATATACAAATACAACACATACACATTGACATTTTGTTGTTGATATTATATTTACAACGTATCATACGTCTTAAAAGTTATATATATAAATGTAGATATATAATTATGTGAAATTGTTTTAGTAGTAGTAGCAGTTGTTGTTCGTTTGTGGCTTTTCAAGTGCCGAACAGGATCAGTAATTTATTTTTCTTGACAAGATAATGCAGTGAAAGTAGTGGAATAAATAAAAAGTCACGGTTATTCGTGTACTGTGAAAAACTGATGTCAATTGTTAACCCGTACCATTAATTGTGTGGGTATATTTTTTTACCCAGAAGATGCAAAACTGTAACAATAGTCGTCATGGTTTGCGAGCTCGGCGTAGATTTTTAGTCCTCGATCATATTTCAACTTCAAACTTTCTGGTTTACCATATACATAAGTGTATATGAAGGGGAATTTTTTTATGATATGTTTAGAACTTTGTGCTGCGTTTTTTTCTTTGTTTTTGAAGAAAAGATAGCAAATCTTATAATTAGAGATGTTATCTCGAAAAAATAAAGATCTCAGAATGATAAAAGAAGGTGTTGTTGGCAAATATGTCAAAAAAGATACACCACCTGAAGTGCCTAGTAAGTTTTATAGATTATCATTAAAAGCTAACATATCGTAAATAAAATTTATTTATTGGTTTGTAAATGGAAATTATCATATTTTTTTAGTTATAAATGTTTGGACAACAGAACCACACAGGAGAGGAAGACGGGTAAATCAAACAATGCCTACTATGCCTTTTGGTTCTCAACCTCCAACAACTGTACAAAAGTTTGGTAACACAAAGCCTTCATTAAGTGCCGTTGGTCTGGGTAGTCATGAAGGAAAATATACACCTAACAACTCAGTACCAGATTTAGCTGCAAGGTTTTAGTTTATTTATTTTAATTTTAGATTGCTTTTTTTAAGTTTTATTTTATAAACTAAAAATCATAAATCTAATGTTATAAGGTATGGCAGTTTATCCATAAATTCTGGTCCACGAGACGTGATGCCTTTGACTACACCTATGTACCCAAATACTTTTTCACCTGCAGTCTCACAAACTTGTGGATATGTTGATCAGTATTCTGGTTCACAATTTCATTTAGACAGAAACCCAGTCAATTTACAAATGCCTTTGATTTATGAAGTTGACAATTGTCAAGAGTATGTTACTTCTCAATTGCAACTTGTGCAATACAGACAAAACACAGAGTAAAACCTTTTTTTGTTTTATTATAGTATAATTTTTATTGAATTATTAATTATAAATTACAATTTGTTAGATATAGTCATTCGGAACCAGAAAGTTCTACCTGTAGTAGTAGTGAACCACCAGAGGAACTACCTTTACCACTTGGCTGGTCTGTTTATTTTACTCTTCGAGGAAGAAAGTATTATGTTGATCATAATACTAGAACAACACATTGGTCACATCCCTTAGAAAAAGAGGGTTTACCTACTGGTTGGGAAAGGATAGACTCTGCTGAATATGGAGTTTATTATGTAAAGTATGTAATTTTAATTGTTGATAGTATGCAAATTATATTGCAGTTGACAGTAAAATTAGTAATTAATTGAATTATTTGATACTTTTTTAGTCACATAACAAGGGAAGCACAATATCAACATCCATGTTATCCAACTGAGTTACAAGCTGTTAGAGTGATTCCTCCACCTCAACATACCAACTTTCATTCACATAGTGTTTTAGTACCAGCAAACCCTTACATTAATGAAGAAATTCCTAATTGGATTTATGTTTATAGTCGTGCATCAGTTGAATTAGATGCCAAATTAAAATGGGAGCTATTTCGCTTACCGGAACTTGATTGTTTTAATGCAATGTTAGTAAGATTATTTACTCAAGAAGTAAGAGAAGTGGTTATGAAATACGAAAAATATAGGTATGACTTGAGTTTTTCAAATTTACAATTTTTTTGAAGAAAATTTTAATGGAATTTAAATTTTACAGGAATGCTCTACGTTACGAAATAGAACAAAGAACAAGGGAATCAGATAGAGATTCTGAAAATTCTAATAGAGCTGTTATTACTGAGTTATTTTAATCTATCGATTAATGGATGTATAGTGTATAGTGATAATTGCATATATTTTTGGAATAGATTATTAGAAAATAAATCAATGCAGTGTATTTTACCTTATGTATTACAATAAAATTTTAATAATTTTTAATATTATATGCATATTATTTACATTGGGACATTATTTGTTATTATTTAACTTGATTTCTTCTCTACTTGTTTATCAGACTCTTTAGGACTAACTCCATGGAACTTCTGGATCTCGTCTTCAGTTATATGAACATCCTTATCTTCAACTTTTGTAAGTCCTTGAAATTTAACTACATTAGCATTTTGTATTCCTAGCAACTTGACATAATCGACACCTGAAAAAATATTAATATTTCCATAGAAAAGAATCAAACCGATGGTAATTGGTTATTGACAAATACATACTGTCATGTTTTTTTGGTAGCTTGTCATTGACAACCATGTAAAAAGTTAATCCAATTAGATTCCATCCCACAATAACATAAATAAGCGACAATTTATATTTATATAACGTCGCAACTTTAGGGTCAATGGGATTCATTCGTTGGCGAAAAAATTCTCTTATTGCTTTTTTAAAAAACATTTTTTGTTATTTTCTATGATTGCTGGTCAAGAATAGTCATGCAAATTATTTCGAATTCAAAACAACGCTCAACGTATAAAGGCCGAATGGTTACTTCGAATCAAGATTGGAAGTTCACTGAAAGCTTTTTACTATAAAAAGAATAGGTTAGGATACTACAATAAGTCCACTGCGTCACTTTAGTGACGCGGTGTGTCTGCTATCTGTTTATAGAATTCGATACGAAATTCCTCAAAATTACTATTCATTTTCGTGAATATAATCAAATTTAATATAAAAATATAGACAAACATGAAAAAAAATTTTAATTTAAAAAAAATTCAACAAGTGGTATAATCTCAACCTTTCATCAAATTACAGGAATAATTACACTTGCATTTTTGTCAACTTTTCATAAAGTTTGATCGGAAAATTCCAATTATTACACGATTTTGTGCAAACTGTCTGTGTGAAACATAACAATAAAATTTTGTATAAAATAATCAGTGATCTATATAATGAAGGGAATTCTATGTTTGGTCAAACATAGAAGCGAACTTTCGAAAAATCAAATTAAAATAAAAATTAATTTAGATGAAACACCGTCGTAAACTGTATTTGAATTGTGCGCGCCTGCTATACTCTTTGGTCCTACCAACTACACAAGCGCCTTGTGGCGTACGGCCGGGTGAATTTTTAATGAATTTGAGAGAAGATCGAGCTAGCCAACACATGCTTTTGAACACATGTGACTGCGGTAACAAGTATCTTTGAAATAATTGTACAAGTAAAAAGATTGTAAACAATAAAATGGATTCTGATGAAGAGGTAAGTTGTCTTGAACATTTAGCCACTTTATAATCGTTCGACTTTTTTTACTTCTTGAATTGTAATCAATGTGATTTTTACTATTCTAACCTTGAAACTTTATTTACAGCTACAAGAGGCTTTCGCTAAAGGTCTTCTTAAACCAGGTTTAAACATTCCTGTAAAAGCACCCAGAGAATATAAAAACAATGTGGTAAGTTTGACATTTTTGTATTTAGTTAAAGAAACATTCACAGATTATATCATATGATTTTTCTTTTTTTAGAGTGCTCTTAAGAATCAAATTAATAGTTTAAAGTTGAATCTACCATGGGTAGAAAAATTGGTTCTTACCAATGCTTTAGCTCCCATGGCTCCTGAAATGGCCATCCACATGGAGCAGCAGGAAGAACAACGTGCAAAACAGCTCAAGTCAAATGTTAAGGGAAAAGGAAAGAAAAAAGAAAAAGCTGTTGAGCTTGAAGATGACCCTGTTATTAATGATTTCAAAAGAGAGTCCATGTTTTATCGACAAGCTCAAGCTGCTGTTTTAAAAGGCATTAGCCAATTGAAGGAGTTGGGAATTCCAACTAAAAGACCCGAAGACTATTTTGGAGAAATGGTGAAAAGTGACCAACATATGACTAAAGTGAAGCTGGTGCTTGAGAAAAAGAAGAAGGAAGCACAATTATCAGAAAGAGCACGTCAACAGAGAACTCAACGAAAAATGGCCAAAGAGATGAGAATTTCATCTACATTGAAGAAACATGCTGAGAAGAAAGAAATGCTGGATGAAATCAAAAAATACCGTAAAGGTAAAACTAATAATCTCGATTTCTTGGAAAATAAAAAGAAACCAGTAAATGCAGGAAGAAAGATGCGTGATAAGAAATTTGGATTTGGTGGTAAGAAGCGTGGTCTTAAGAAAAATGATAGACAAAGTGCAGCTGATCTCTCTGGATATTCAGGACAAGAATACTCCTTACCTGGAAAATCTGGAAATTCAAAGTTTAACAAAGGAAGAAATAAGAACCAAAGTAAGACTGGCCAGAAAAATCGACCAGGCAAAAGTCGCAGGGTTCAAATGAAGGCTAAAAGAAATTGATTTATATTTGACATGTAAATAATTTTAGAATTAAGTATAAACCAATTTATAATTGGAAAGTACAATATTTTAGATTTAAGGAATAAACAATTTTATAAAAAACAAAAATATTTTTGTCATGACTTTTTAGATCTATCCACTACACTCTTATTTTAAAAATTTTAATATTTTACCAGCAATAAGTTTGTACATAAGAAGCCAAAATTCAAATACTTTTTCAAGACTCAAAGTTATACAAATTCATAAAGTAAAGTAAAATGATTATCTAGATTAAGGATCTACCAAGCACATTCTTAACTTGAGATGAGAACTATACTAGATGTAATTTAATTAATAAAAAAGGAAGGAACAATTATTAGCAGAAACAATTTTTATTTTTATTCACACTGCATTGTCAGTAATAGAAAAATATATACTTCAATATGCATGAGTGTAAGGTATATGCGGGTGAACGTAGAAACTGAAAAATGAGGGTATACATTACTAACATTTTTAAGGTACATAAACATTTTATGCAAAATAATAACAAATTGTACTATCACATGTGCTTTGGGAATTACTCTCTTCTACTACTAAACCAGAAATTTAGTTTACGAAATTGAATGCAGCTCCTAGTTCTAGATGAAAAAGCCTAATACGTAACCTGACAGTCATCCTTTGTTACATCCCCATAGCGGCTAGGCCAGATTTTGGTGAATTGCACTGTGACGGGCAGGATATAAAATGTATATAGGGGGAAAGGAGAAGCCGCTTGGATAGATTTTCCTGCACGCTTCGCAGGAAGAGACCCGGGCCGGCCGCGCGGCGCGCACAGTTAGCGTTTGCAGACCGAGTAAAACGGCAGGGCAGCTGCAAGTCAGGCGAATATAAGCGTGCGTTTTTTCCAGTTGAAAGAACGGAATTTCATTGTCAAAATATCATTGAAAAAGAGAAAAATGTCCGTTATTGGAAAGGTAAATTACATTATTTATTTTTCTATAATTGTGTCGCGTTTTTAGGTAGTCTGATTCTCTCAATCTAAAATATACTGAAATGCAGGAGCTTACCTATTGTGCTTGACGGCATCATACATGAGGGTGGATGATGTCGCTTTCGGCTTACAGGGCTAAAGTTATTTTAGATTTTGTTAAAACTTTTCAATGAAGCTTCAATTTTTTTTCACCACCAAGAAATTATTTTCGAAAATAACTCGTAATAGATTTTGTTATTTTTATATTATACTGTTCGAATAGCCGGCCAAAATTTTTTTGCCGGCAAACGCGCATATTTAGTTGAAGTTATTGACGAATATTCGACGGTGCAGGCTAAAGGGTGGTACGTATAGGGTTCAAAAATGATGCATATCATTTCAGCCCGCGTGATAGTGCATGTGTAGCAGCGTCCTTCTTGACGATGAGCGTTTTTATTGATATCATGGATATTTGACATTCCGGTTTTTCCTGTTGCTTGCATCTTTATTAAATGGAATTTCAAAAAACTAGCTTTCATTAGCATAGCTGGTTTTTTCTTTGCATACATTTTACTACACTGATCTTGGAGGATTTTTTAATATTCTACAAAATTGAGCGAATTCAGTTCTTTTTAACAATTATTTAATTAAAACTCAGATTTTATTGCATTTTATAAAATCGTTTTTGTTCTCCCTTTTTTTAAATATGAAATTAGAAGTTTCTTATACTCTACGATCTTGTAAATTTTTTTCTTGTAAATATTCAATTTCTAACAGTCATTTTGTTTCATGTTTTATTTTAATCTTTTTAGCCAGTACTTTATTCATATTGGAGGAGTTCTTGCTCATGGAGAGTTAGAATTGGTAAGTAGAATGCACAACTATAATTAAATAAATTTTTATTGCAAAAATATATGTAATATTAATAATGTAGTTAAACTAACATTACTATATTGCACAACAACAAAGTTAACAAAGTATATGATTAAAATTTTAACAAATTATATACATATAATTATATATTATTAATTATATAAATTATATACATATATCTCCTTTATTTTTACAGCTTTAAACCTCAAAGAGATTCCTTATGATATAAAACCAGTTAGTTTAGTGAAAAATGGTGGCGAACAGCATAGTAATGAATTCAGAGAGGTCAATCCGATGGAACAGGTCCCGGCCCTCCATATTGATAATCATACATTAATTGAATCTGTAAGAAAACATTTTATTTAATAAATCTAATAATTTTATAAAATATTGAGAAAATGATAGAGTGCAAGATAAACATTGTAAGACAATATGAATTGCAATAATGGTGGATGCATAATATGCATGGTTACTTAGTAAGCAAATAAATTCAATGAAAAGTTGATAAATGAAACCCAAAATTGAATACAGTGATAGAAACTAAATTGACTACAAGCAGTAAAATTATAATGCATCCAAAACTGCTAATACATTACTAATACTAGATACTTTTTTCAGTTTAATATTTTACTCTACTTAGAAGAAACAAGACCACATCGACCACTTATGCCAGCAGATCCAATAAAAAGAGCAAGGGTTAGAGAAATTTGCGAAGTTATTTCTTCTGGAATTCAACCCCTACAAAACTTAATTGTTCTTATTTATGTTGGAGAAGAACGTAAGAAAGAATGGGCTCAACATTGGATTACAAGAGGCTTTACCGGTACAGATTTATTATAAAATTATGAAAATATTTAATTAGCATTTTTAAAATTAAATATAACTTTTGTTTTAGCTGTGGAAAAGTTATTATCTTCTAGTGCTGGAAAATATTGCGTCGGGGATGACATAACTTTAGCCGATTGTTGTTTAGTTCCGCAAATATTTAACGCACGAAGATTTCACGTAGATTTGAGGCCGTTTCCTACAATTTTGCGCATTGATAGGCATCTCGAAAATCATCCTGCTTTTACAGCAGCTCATCCTAATAATCAGCCTGACTGCCCACCAGAGGCAACTAAATAGCAAGCAAGACAGACCACTTTGTTTCTATTCTAATATTTAAGATTGGAAACATAGTGGTCAAGTAAATGTCGTGGCTATTCTATTTTGATGAAAGAGCTACTACTGTAATTTTTTAAGCACATTTTTGACAAATTTTTGAAATGAAATATCTCTAATGATGTGAAAATGATGCAGTGATGCCATTTAAATGCAAATAAGTCTATTAACTTCTGAAGCCACGACATATAAAAATAAGATCAACGTCGACAAAAGTTTTTAAATAATCCCATTGTATTATTATTTATTTTGGTGAGATTACAATCAATTGCCAAACTTTTTTTAAACTCTTTTATGATGCAGATAAGAGCAAACTGTTAAAAACTGCTTTAATGAGAAGTAGACTTAAATCTTTTAATTTTGTTAATTTATTTCATATCTTTATTATTTTAAAATGAATATGTTCGCACGCAAATATTTTTTGTAAATAGATTTTGTTGGCCCTTCATAGAACTTTTATACCTTAGTTCCACCGATAAGTTATTTCTTTTTAAATTTTCATAAGGAAACAAATGATTTATACCACTAAAAATTTAATTAATTATAAAAGCATATTTCGTTAGTTATGAAATATGTATGCTCAGAAGTATACAAATCGAAGCCATGCTAAAAACTAAAAATATCATTGAGAGTACAAACAATTTTATTATTATACAAAAAATTATCCGAAATTTACGAAAATATTTTAACGATTAAAACTTTTATAAACCGTGTGATAAATACTAAAAAGACAAATAAGATTGTACAAATGAGTGTATACATTAGATGTAATGAATTGCAATAAGTCATTTTTAAATGTACACAAATTTATAATGTTTTTGAATTTTGTGTTAAAAGCTTAATCACGAAATAGAGAATAATGTAGTTTTGATAAGAAACCTTATAACTCAACAGATTAAATCAATATTACTCGCCTTATGTAATGAAAATAATGATGTTGTGAGAAAAAACAATGACTGGTTTGAATATATTTATAAATGCTTAAACAATGTGCTCAGTCAATGATAAGTTAGCGGTGTCGTATAACTTTTGCAATTCATTCGAAAAAGAATCAAATAATATGTGTGATCGAATAAAAATGAAATTGCGTTAAACAAAGCGTATCTAGTGTGCGATAAAAATTATCATACCTATGAGAAGTACTTCCAGAACTGGTCAGCCTATAAACGTCTTAAACTTTTTTAGAGACGCAATTACTAGGTAGTTTTTCTTTCAATTAATTGTAGATTATTATTATAAATCGTTTATGATCAATACTAACATTTTTCAAACTAAAAAAACTATCAATAAGAAAAGAATGCTCAATTATGGTAGTCAAATAAACTCTTTGTAATGTGTAACAAATGGAGTTTCGATTTGATCATTCTATAATGAAAATTAATATCATAGTACTTATTTAAATGTAAAAATAAAAAATTGTATGTATGAAATATTTGTATGGCTTGCAGGAAAAATAAATTTGTGTTATTATAGCGCCAATGCATTTGAATTGCTTTTAATTTCATTCAAACAACAGATATGTACAATAAGCTATTTCATTTTTGAAATGAAATGTACTTAGTAAATTTTTTCTACTTATAATATAGTTCTAAAATTAAATCTATAATTTCGGCGTGAAATTATTACAATAATACTCACCGAACTAAGATTACTCTCTTCGATCTTGCTGAGAACGGACTCAATGTACATCACTAAATATTTATCAAAAAGCACCCGGAACTTAAATAAATGATCTAATCGATAACGCAGTACATACTTTACTTTACTTAAATTCATTGTACAGTAAAATTATAATATACAGAATATTTTTGATTAATAAAAGACTGTATATCGAAATTGTTTTTCGCCTTTTTTTTATAAAAATACACATATACTTAGTTATATATTGACTAGTCAAAAAACAGCACATATTGCTTGAAAGAATTAATCTACATTAGAATTGACAGATTACAAGTTCTGCGAAAACCTCGATTCTTTTCACATCAACAATAATTCAACATGGTTTTCGTGAAACACTCCATCATTAATATTTTTAATACTTGCTATTGTTTCGATTCGAAAATTTTTCTACGTTTTTTAATTTAATCATTTAAGATGTGAGGAAATTAATTGATTTATGAGTTAAGTAAAATCAACACTTATTGAGATTATCTGTACAGTATTTTTTCCCTAGTATTTTGTTTATATTTTTTTCTTGCGGTAAAAAAACCACAATTATTGCCTTTATTGAACGAATTTTTGACTCTATTTAATTTATCACGTTATAGGCCGTCCATTTTATTGGTTAAAAATGCCAATTTTAACATCATTTTCAATTATTTACAAAGCTTAATTTTTTTTCATCAACACATTTTTCGCTCAACAATAATAGCAATATACAATAATAAAAAATACGAAGTTAACAATATTATCATCACTTTTACTTTTGATTTAAATTTCCAATTATAAATAAATTTTTACCATGAATCTTCCCCGCTGTGAGTAATGTCATTTATACAAAATTAATTGTTTCAAAGAGACTGCTTTGGTAATAATAAAAAAAATATGTTACCAAAACGAACTTATTTTAGCGACCAACAAGATAGGTAAAAATATACATATAAAAATATATAAAAATATATTATTCGTACATTAGATATAATTATAACGCGCTAGCACGCAAAATTTCTCTCGCACCGTTGATATGTCTATATCAATATAAACACATAACTAACAAATACGCGTCTGATCATGAAAAGTACTCGAGAAGAAAAATTAAAATAGAATGTCATGGATTAGATGTACTCATTAACACAAGCTACCATAAAAAGAAAAATAGAAGTTTTTTCTAAACGTACTCGTAACACCTTTGAAAGTGTATATTCTTGAATTAATATAGGGTCAAAATAATACTTTTTTACAAAACCGTGCGCACGTATGTCACCGATCTTGACGCGCTTTTGGTATGTTATAGTACATGGTAAAAAGGTCTCAAAAAAAAATTTTTAGATCCCCTCCCCCCTCCTACCCCCCACTTCCGGTATAAACGTCCATTTTCGATCTATATTTTTTCTGAGGACATGAAGCAAGTAAAAAATCTGAAAAAATTCATAAAAATACTTTTCCACAATCCAAACAACCTTGAATTTTTTCAGATTTTTTGAGTGCTTCAGGCCTTCAGATAAAATCATTGAAAATTTCAAAAATCGAGATACGGCGGTATGAGCCGATGTAGTACTCGGAAATTTTTTCAGTTATTTTTCGCATTAAAAAACATAACCTCAATTTTTTTCAGATTTTTTCAGATTACCTAACGCACCTTTTGAAGCCAAAAACCGATTTTTTTGACGAAAATAATTTTTTTAGGACAGTACGGAGCCTCGAAAAATCTGAAAAAAATTTTTTCTTGTTTTTTTCATCAAAATACGTAATCTCAAATTTTTTCAGATTTTTTAATTGAAGGCGATAGCTTCTAGGGCCGAAAAATGCTATTTTTAACAAAAAATGGTTCCTAGAACCCGATGGTTCCGGTGAAAAAATTTGAAAATATTTTTTTTGAATTCCTTGTCAAATTTTAATAAATTTTGACCGTTTCAAAAGTTCGATTGAAGCTTCCTAGCTCATTTTAGAGCAGGACAAAGATTAGTGCAAAATATCTGAAGACGTTTCTGAAGACATTAAGGAATGATAAAACTCGTTTGATGCTCTAAAATGAGCTAGGAAGCTTCAATCGAACTTTTGAAACGGTCAAAATTTATTAAAATTTGACAAGGAATTCAAAAAAAATATTTTCAAATTTTTTCACCGGAACCATCGGGTTCTAGGAACCATTTTTTGTTAAAAATAGCATTTTTCGGCCCTAGAAGCTATCGCCTTCAATTAAAAAATCTGAAAAAATTTGAGATTACGTATTTTGATGAAAAAAACAAGAAAAAATTTTTTTCAGATTTTTCGAGGCTCCGTACTGTCCTAAAAAAATTATTTTCGTCAAAAAAATCGGTTTTTGGCTTCAAAAGGTGCGTTAGGTAATCTGAAAAAATCTGAAAAAAATTGAGGTTATGTTTTTTAATGCGAAAAATAACTGAAAAAATTTCCGAGTACTACATCGGCTCATACCGCCGTATCTCGATTTTTGAAATTTTCAATGATTTTATCTGAAGGCCTGAAGCACTCAAAAAATCTGAAAAAATTCGAGGTTGTTTGGATTGTGGAAAAGTATTTTTATGAATTTTTTCAGATTTTTTACTTGCTTCATGTCCTCAGAAAAAATATAGATCGAAAATGGACGTTTATACCGGAAGTGGGGGGTAGGAGGGGGGAGGGGGTCTAAAAATTTTTTTTTGGGACCTTTTTACCATGTACTATAACATACCAAAAGCGCGTCAAGATCGGTGACATACGTGCGCACGGTTTTGTAAAAAAGTATTATTTTGACCCTATATTATATGCGATAATTATAATTTAATTTAATATGTATTTGGGTCGCATTATTTAATGTTTATGATTCGCATGTGACAGAAGATTAAAAATAGTTGGAAGAATTATCTGTCGTGTATCGATTCTATCCAAAAAAAAAAGAAAAAGAAAAAACAGTACCATAAAGCGAAATTTGGAGGAAACATTTTTTACAGATATTTCCTTCCCGCTTCCCTCGATCGGTTCGATGCGGTCGATTTATAATAATGAATTCAGTGATAAAGTTTATGCAAATTTCATGATGCGCACAACGGTATCATAAAAAGTATTTGTTTATATAATACAGTAGTCAATTGTATATAGTATGATGATAAGACACTTAAAAGTTGGTTGATGATGATCTGAATTTGGCTAGTTGATAAATATTTAATGCAGCAAGAAGAAGAGGAGACGCATAAAATACGCAAACATACTTTTTATTGATGATGATTGTGTTGAGTTGAGTTGAGTCGAGCTTGGCGTTGATAAATACATAGTATACAAGATGTTGATTTGTTACTGGTAAAATACGAGCATCGGCAATGTTTGTTAAGCCAATGGTTATATTGTACACAAGAAAAAACGGAAAGAAAAAAAATGTAACCAATTGAAAAAAATAAAAAAGTTATTGCATAAATATTGTGGCAAATTTGGATGGCATTTGGATGGAAAAATGGACACGTTCATTGTTGATGCTTATTTTTTTTTCAATCTGAAAAATCTGGTGTTTTTTAATGTGGCCAAGGTCGTGAAATGAAGAAACAACAGAATGCATTTAATGAGCGATTGTTTATTATGCTCTTAATGATCACTTGTCATACAGGTAACGATGCTTTTCTCATGAATGAAAATAGTTAATATATTATGTTTTTTGTTTTAATATACTTTATATATATATTTGTTTTTTTCATTTATAATTATTTAACATTGAAAATGGAATAGAACGAATGATGAAAGAATAACAACAATCTGTGGATGCAAATTAAAACTAATGGTTAGAATGCCGAATCAACCATTTCAAAATATATATCAAAGAGTCGTTCTCACAGTACTTGATATTTTTTTTAATATATTATATCTCAATCATTTGTTTTTTCTCTCGGTCACTTCCTTCTTTACTATGCTATTTGCAATTTTGCACGTGCACTATAATAATTAATTATAATGATAATCTACATATTGTTTAATAATTAGAAATATCAATTTACAAAACTCGTATTTTTGCAACCCCTTCATATATAGTCACAGTGTCGTGTCATTTTACTAGTGTGATTTTTTAGTTCTTCGATAAACTCTGTCCTTTTCTTTCTTTTCGATCATGACTGATTAACCATAATTTATTTATTTATTATTTTCGTATATAGTATATATATATATTGAAATATATATATATATATTATATACTCCCGTATTTTTTTAATATCCTACATTATACATAATAAACATTACTTTGGACTTGCTCTTGCTTTTCATAATATGTATATATATAATATATATCTAATATATTTCACTTTTCGGTTCCTGACCATTCGAATTATAATCAACGACGAAAATGAAAAAAATAAGATTAAAAAAATAATAACAGCGACGTAATTTATGTATAATTCATATAGCATCCTTCGTATCTCGTATTTGTCTATTATATTGTAATATTATTACAACAAATGAGCTCCGCTTATACTAATATAGTTTTTTATTTCTTATTCTTCATTAGTTTATCATTATTTCTTCCTCATAATAATTTCTTATTCTATATCTATCTACTTGCAAATTCAAAATTCATAGAGTTTCAATGTGTATGTGTCTTTGTGAACGTGTCGAGTTGTAAGGAGTATTATGTGCATCCTCTTGTGTGTTTTTTATCTTAAAACTCAGTTACTCTCCTCGTACACGGAACTAACAATTATAGAGACTTTAAAACTTTTTATTAATTTTTTAATCACTCCGTTGAATTTCTTTCGTTTTATTATCTTTAGAATAGTTTTCAATTCGTCTTAAATGAATAATTATATTTTCGAAACGTTTACTCTTAGTCATTTTATTTTCATTCCTTATCCAATTTACGCGAATTCGTACAGCTTTTATGTATCGAGCAAACTTTTATGCAACACTGTTTATTTTCGTATGACCTAAATATTTTTGTACAACTTCGGGCGCGCATATCCAATATACC